CCTCATTGTGCTATTATTAACTTACACACCTCAGCCAAAATAATCGTTGGAACTGAAGGTGTTATGGATTAATTTTATTTTTTTATTCGTTTGGTTTTCAAAGTTCTTTGATAGCATTGTTTAATTGACGACTAAGTTTATTGTGTGCCGAAAACGTGAAGTTTTGAACCAATAACAAGTTATGAAATAGACAATAAAAGATTAAATTCTTGTACATTGTAAAAGATTCAAAACTTTCCTTTGTATTACGAAGAACATTGAGGGGAAGAAACATTCCTTCGAAGTAAAACGATATCACCCAAGTGGAATTAAGGTTTCTTATAAAAACGGGTAAGTTCCCAAACACATTCGATATTCTTCATTTGCTTAAAAATGGGTAAATACCTGAAAAGTTCCAAAGATATAAAATGTAATAGCCAGAGAAACAATACCCATTTTGAGATGGGCCTTCCTATATCGCTGTTGTATTTGAATGAAGTGTTTCTTTGGCCTAGTTAGTAGTTGGATGCGGCCGTGTGTGAATTTGTTGTCCCTGGAATCACGGGTTTGAATCCGGAGTATTCACTTTTCCGGCTGGGCCAAGAATTTAGGCCAGGAGCGACGATGTGCTTTGAAGAGATTCATTTTCTATTCCCTCAGCAAGGTTTTTCAATTTCTTAAGTAGTCATCGTAGACTTCTTATGACGATACTTTTGAAGAAAATGATTAGCTGGTGGTGATTTCATACTTAACCAGGATATTCCCAGAAAGGCCGGATGTTGATTGGCCGAGAGAGTCAGGATGAGTCACGTAGGTATACCGCCTAAAACATCGACGGGATCAAGTAATTGCTAGCTGATAGGTCGAGAAAATCGTGACGTTAGCAAAATTTCTTGAATTAAAATTATGAATCACATTTTCAAAACCAAGAAATTCCACCAAGATAATACAATCTGAAATCAAATAAAATATTTTTTATACGATCACTTGGTATGACCCGTTATGCCTGTCTCTAAATGTAGCCTTGCATCCTGTGTGTGTTTTTTTCGTGACTACCAGAGAGTCAAAGATCCTTGGTCATGGCACTAGATGTGACACTATAACCGAAAGCAACAGCTAAAGATCCTGGTCACTGGTCTAGCGATGTCCTGGATATATAAAATCCTCGATTTACATTGTGATTAGATGAGATCTGAAGAGGTTCCAAGTTCAGTACTGAAACATCGCAATTCCGAGTTAGCTACGTGCAATATAAAATTAAAGTTGACAAATTCCGAGAATGATCGAAGTCTTGCAATAATGTCGAAGTGGACCAGAATATCTTTAAAATTTAGCAAATAATAGTTTATTTTAGCTGTTGCTTGCACCAGTTTTTCAAATTAGCGACTTCCTTTCTCCAAATCCTAATGTTTGACAGTGATAAGTATTAAATTGAACTTTGAATTGCATATTTACCATTTATGATGATGATGTGTGTCTGTTTACCCGTTTCTCTCTCTTTTCAAAGTGTGGTAGTCTAATCGTCCGTTTATTTATGGCTGCTCCAACGATCTACTCTTCCTTGATTTCCATGATCTGTTCAGACTGCATTTCGAACTCCTCCGTCATTATCCAGTCACATTGTATCGTCTCTTGGCTCAGCGGAGCTGCCATTATTACGCCGTTATTACGCCGTTTACTTGTATACACGGCTTTCTCACCAGTAGTGTATTGGTGATTTTCGACCACTCATTTACGCTTTCTAAAGGCATTCTTTAGTTGTAAAAGGCATTGCCAGCTCGCCAATTGACCAAGTTTAGATAGCGTTATCCTCCGGAAAAACTATTATTCTAATAAAACCACCGGTCAATATATTTATGTAAAAAATGCACATTGGGCGGCTTTACAGAATTTTAATTTTAATTTAATTATTTATTTGGCAAAATTATCTTCCTGAAATTATTCGTCATAAGAACCTACATCAATCTGATGGAAAGGTATTTAGATAAACAACTTAATCGGAAGGATTTTTACAGGTAGATTTTTTTCAGTCTAGGAAGTAATTTACCACTTGCCGTCACTTTCGCCCGGAGCAGGATCATAACCATTTATTAAATTATCAAGTTATCTTTAAGTTAATATTCGGTTCAATTTCTTAACCTCTCCCAACCATCTAATTTCTTGAAACTAATTAACTTTATAGCTCTTTTTTTTTTACATTTAATTTCGGTACCCATTAAACGCAGCCATGTTTTCTCCCATGTTTTCTTCGTTACTGTTTTTAATCATTTCACCCAAGCAAGACAATAAAGCCACTAAGACACAAAAGGTTATTGACTGTTAAAGAATATGAGAAAAGGAAAAACATAATTAAGGAGAGAGGACAATAAAAGAACAGGAATTTAGAAGACAGGAGATAACGATTGACTTGCATTCAAATTTTTGAGGATCAAAGTTGACTGGAAAGCAAGAAGCCGGAAGAGAGTTCCACAATCAAGAATTACTGGTGTAGAAACTATTAACATAGAATTTACGGTTACATCTAACCATTTCAACTGTAAAATGATGAGATCTATTTGTCAATCTATGTTTAAATTTGTAAAGTTGGAGTACCAAAGAGGAAAGCTCACTAGAACAATTACTATGGACATTTTATAGAAAAAAGGCATAGGGAAGCTACGTTACGGCGGTGGGAAAGGGACTGAAGCCGAGATGTCAGGTTAGGACCGATAACATTGCAGATTCTTCTTTGGATTTTATCAAGAATCTGTAAATACATAACAGAAACATCAGACAGTAATATTCAATTCATGGACGAATAGTAGACTTATAACTATGTAAGATAGATTCTGACGAGAAAAATTGTCTTGGACAACATAGTGAACCAAAAAGGTTTAACCTTTCTACTTTTAACTATGTTCATCGACTGCTGTTAAGCCTTCTTAGGATTTTACTCACCCTGCCAAGTGGATCAATACCAATTTCGTCACAACGAGTTTGATTCTCTCTAGGTGCTTCATTATTGTGGCCTTGTGACAGACTAAGCCTAGATAAGTATATAATTAGCATAATTAGAGTATTAATCCCTGGATTAATGCATTTACTAATGATTAACCCTTGATAATGAATAGATGGTAATTTTATTAAATATTTTAATGGAAAAAACGTTCCTTCAACAGATATGTGATGAGCATTCGATCAAACCCTGGGATGAGCTTAAAAAAGATGGAGTTTTATTGTAACACTATTTGTGTTGCTGGTAATTAATGATAATAATGGCGACTTGGAATATCAATGAAAACGAGATAATGATGGATAACTTAGCATGAAAAGGGTTAAACAATATAAGGAAAGATAGACCGATAATAAAATTGTTCCCAGAGAATCGAGATATTTACAATCGACCAGATGGCAGTCCAAAAGCAATTCTCAGTTTGTGCGAACAAGTCAAGTGTTGAAAGCCTTTGGCAAGCAATTCCTGGATCTGACATGAGAAGAATTGGGTTAAAACTAAATTAATTCATTTTGCGGAATGTCGGAATGAAAAAGAATAAATTGAACACCTGCGGAATGGTGACCTTTGACTGAACAAATTGTCACCATAATGGGAATTGCGAAAATTTCCCTGTCTCTTGGGTCAAAGCAGAGAAATTCAATTGTGGTGTCAATTCACTTATGAGATAAGCGCATTTGAAACCATATTTTTTAATTAGTCTCCGACCGAATTCTAGAGGTAACAGGCGCAAAAGAGCGATCAAGGAAGGATGAGGGACTGCCTGCACCCACTGAAGGGTAGCAGGCACAGAAGAGACATTAAAGGGATTGAAGGAGCTGCTCACGCCCACTGGAAGGAAATGGTGGAGGATGGTAACAAAAGAGAGTAGAAGCAGCCAGACGGAGCGATGCCTGAACCCACCCACGAGAGAGGGAGAATTCCCCAAAATTATGAATTAACTTAATTTCTCAAGACCAAAAGCAATAGACTTTTGTTGGAAATCAGGAGGGATTCACCAAAACCCAGCCTACATCTTTCCCCGCACCGGTTTCTAGTTGGAGTCCATAAAAATGAATGCGCGAAAGCATTCCGTCAGTTCAGAGTTGTGAGTTGATAGTTGAGAGCTGAGAAGGGAATCGGCGGAGGTTGCTGAGAGATTCCACAACTCCTGCCGAACACAAGATCCTCCGACTTCAGTCTTGAGCCAAACTTACCAAAACAGTAAAACAAATTTCGCTAACTCTGCAAGCCAAAACTTACCAGCTTACCCAAGTGTTGCGTCCGATTTATGAATTGGTTGGGTCGACAAACACCTGTATCCGAACACCACTACTAACGAAGCATTTTACGCAGTACTGATATAAAAATAGTAGTTATTTTTTATATATATTTCGAGTGCTGTTATTTTTCTCCAATTTTATTGTACGACTTCACTCGACGTGGACCAGCCCAATACGAATATACCTGTGACGAATCGATCTTGGCCTCCTTATAATCAAATCAATCACAACCTGAGGTAAGGCAGGTCAGGATCGAACCAGGATCCACCCCTGGCTGACCACGACAAAAGGTTACATCTGTTGCCGTTTGTTGTGAACCATGATCGACCCTGAAGTGTTACATTATTTGGGAAAAAGACAAAAATAGAACATAATGATGAATATAGACCCGACAGAATGATGGCCAACCAAATTTGGAAGATGGCTGAACAAATTGTCAGCCATTATTATTATTATTATATATGCTCTGTCCCTTCAGGCCGTTGGCGACAATGGCTATCCACAAATTGATTTGATTGATTCTTTTTCTACGGGTTATCAACCATTTGCAGGTTATTTAAATCCAGAAAATATTTTTAGATTCTAATATTTTTTGAGATAATGATGGTTTAGTGATACAAGTCTCACGAATTAACCCATAGCTAGGGTGAGAAGAGATGGATTCATACCTTTCCCAAGGGTATTTGCGTGTAAGTGAATATAACGAACCCAACAGGAATAGGAACTCGGCTCTCCGATTGACATCCAAGATTACAGCACCTATTAATTCCTGATATTCCTAAGAGATCACCCATGTAAGTACTGACCTGACTCGTCGTTATTTAACTTCGGGGATCGTACGGGAACTGGTGTTGCAACAAAATATGACCGCAAGCCTGACCTTTGTAGCTCTTATTAAATTATGTCTTCTTGCTATCTTCTAATCTGCCAGTTATTTACACAAGTTCCTTAGGTTTTTCTCTGTTTTTCTTTGTCCCTCTTCCTTTCAATATATCCTGATAGTACCGAATTTTCCAAATTGTCTTTCTGATATAATGGAATATGCGTACACCTGTGTTCCCTCTCACTGGAATATGATTGGCTGGTGTCCGTCATAAATATCGACGAACGTGTAGGTACGAGAATCAAAAGCCTTAGCCTGAGAGCTAAGTCTATAACGACGCCCATTGGACTACGCAGTTGATCTACACTTCTTACCTGTCGATTACTGCTACCGTATTCTACTTGGTTATAGTAGCCAAAACCACTTAGCTACTTCGTTCAAATATATCCCTTTCCGGGATATATCACTTTCTTTATCAAGTGTCCTAGAAATTTCAACTGTTTCTTTCTGATGTTAAGAGTTCTTTTTGTTTAGATTTTCTCTAAAACTTCGTCGTTGTTCACATGTTCAGTCCATGGTATTCTCAGCACTTTTCTAGAACCACATCTCTTTTGCTTCAAATCTCTTCTTCATCTGTGGAGTTCATCCAGCATTCATTGCCATATAAGAGGATTGATATTACATAACAGCTCAGTACTCTTTTCTGTGTTTCTAACGAAATTTTCTCGTTTCTTAATACTTTGCTTAGCTTTTGGAAGGCAACTTTCTCTATTATAATGCATCTTCAGATTTCGGTGTCACATTTTCCGTTTTCTGATAAAACGCTTTTCAGATACTTAAATACTTGTACTTGCTCGATTTTGATCTAAATTTTGTAGATCCTTCTCTTCGAGTAAAATCTTTGGTACCGGAGATCTGTCCGACAGAACGAAATAAGAACAAAATAAACACTATTTACTTTTACGATAGCTGTAAGTGAAATTGTTTCAAGTGATATTAAGTTTCATGTTGATAACGTAGCTATGAGGTGGTGCTGAAAAGTTCTCGGTCTGAGAAGAAATCGTTAAAAAGTTGGTTAGATTTTGAAAAGTAGGTCGGACCGAGAACTTCTCAGTATTCCCCCTCCCATCTCGTTATTAGTTAAAATCAGATGTTTATTTAATTTATCTTCCTCCGTACGAGGGCAAATTTGACACAAATTTCCGTATTTATATAACCTCCCCATGGTGATAGGATGTGACAGTCGATTTAAATTCCTTCCCCTGTATATAGAAATAGAGGTAAAATTTGCTATGTTGACCACGCCACGCTCCTTTTGAGACGCTACTGGCATCAGAGAATGGCCCTGAACCCCCAGACCTTTTTATAAGAGTTGTTGAGAAGCAGCCAAGTCATTCTGGAGGTGAACCTATTTATTAAATGAGAAATACGGTTTGGTGTTCATCTGCACCACACTCAAATGGAATATGCCAAAGGGCCTAGTTTAAAATGTGCACAGAGATAAAAGAAAAAAAAGTCCAGAGTCGTTGGCATTTCTCTTTTACGAACACCTTTCTCCTGGTAGAGTGGTATTGCCTGGGAGTATACCCTCGGCCAGGACTTAATAAAAACTTTATAGGGACTTGGGGCTTAGGGGTTAAAATAAACAGTTGATTTATCCACGCCAAGAAGATTAATGAAGGATGATAATAACGAGGAAACACACAGGTGCATGGAATACTGCTGCCATATATGGTCTGGTGTCCCCGCTGTTCGTCTTAAGGTAATCAACAAAATCCAGAGACGGATATGCAATGTGATTGGCCCTGATCTGGCATCTCGTCTACAGTCGCTCTCTCACAGACATGCCGTCTCCTCCCTCTGTCTTTTCTACAAATACTTTCGCAGTAACTGCTCCGACGAGCTACTTTCGCTAGTTCCCAGACTGAATGAATTTAAACGTGCAACTAGGCTGGCATCTCGGTCCCGTCCTTTCACTGTCGAAACAGTTAAATGCAGCCGTCTCTTCTACTCCAATAGGTTCATGTCTCGCACCTCCCGTATATGGAATTTCCTTCCTATTACTTGTTTCCCTGATAGCTATAATCTCCAACTATTCAAATGTAATGTCAATCGACATCTCCAGTCGCCTAGTCTATTCCCTGTCCTTCTCTTCATCCTTTCCTCTATCACGCCTCTTTACTCTCGCTCCCACTCTCTGTAACCCCTTGCGTGCCAGTGGCATCCCGCCTTGCTTAGGATGAAATGCTTAAAAAAAAAGAAGAAAAGAAGGTAATATTACCAAAACAAGATTAGGAAGTTATTTTAGAATGTATACGTTTGAAGTAGTGTCAGTAGCTCGTTTCAGGAAAATAAATCTGAATTCTTAAAGTCCGTAGTTTTAACGTATTATCATGTATTATCATGAAGAGGAAATGTTCATAATACAGCTTAAATGATCTGGCACAAAATAATATTCAAAAATGTTTAAAACAAAGGTAAGAGAGTTCGTTGCTCACCGAAGAGTTATATGGTTGCATACTTTCAAAATGTAGATGAAGAGAGATAGTTTGAAATATTTAGCTTTCTTGGATTGTTGAGAGAAAACTCTCTAAGTGCCACGTGCTTGGTTAGAAGCAGTTAATATAATTGGCGAGTAATTTTACACAGGCGAGTACTTCAACGCTGGTCGCGAGGAACTGAAACAAAACTTTTCACATGACTTCAGACACTCTTTTGATTAATTTAATTTTTCTCTTCATTTTATATAAAAAGAATTTCATGTAGGCTCGCTACTTTCTTTCCTTCTTCTTGGCTCACCGACTAATTTCTATGAAGGCAATATTTTCATTGGTCTAAAGAAAATTACACATAGGCTCGCGAATTTATTTCCTTCCTCTTCGGCTCAACGATTAATTTCCGCGAAAAGCAAAAATCTCTTATAGGTTCGTGAATTTCTTTCCATCTTCCCCAGTCCTTCGAATTTGAAAGGAGTGGGTGAAAGGAGTTATTATTATTATTATTATTATTATTATTATTATTATTATTATTGCATTCACTACAACTGCATATGAAAAGCGGTTTTATCAAAATATTTACTAAGCTTAGATTAACACAAGGCCATAAACATGGAGCAACATGTTAGGATCTAACTCACGACTCAGACTAAACCCCAGTTTTAAGAGACAAACAAGAAAAGCCAAGAATTAAAGTATTTGTGCAATGTAAAACTATTACACAGAGGCAGCGGCGTAACTAGCATTTTTGGCGGTCATCGAATTTGCCGCCCCTCTAAATAACATCCCCAAAACTGAGCAACATTTACAAAATCTAAATAAAGATTACAATTACAGCCATTTATTTTGTATTGATTGTAGACCCCTCCAAAAAGTAGCAACAACAATATAAAAAGAATGAAAAGATATTTTAAAAGAATTAGATAGTAATAAAAAAAAGCTTTTTTAGTAGGTGACAAGTTTTTGGATAAAATGTTACTAGCAATAATATAAGTTATGAAAATAACAAAATAAAATAGGCTAGCAGTAATGGAGTCACAGTGTAACTGTCAAAGTCAATGTCCAGTCCATTTTTTTTTATCTTGTGACCCGTAGGTTCGTAGGGGCACCATGTGTACTGCAGCCACAGTAGAAGTGGTATTTCTTGGACAAGATAGCCTGAGGTAGCCCAACCTTCTCCAGGTCGGTTTTGAATTTTCCTTAAATTTTTCCTTCTCCTAGGCCGATTGCCACTCAAGGTTATAGAACCCAGTCTATCCTATAGCTGGAGAGGAGAAGAGGATTCATACCTTTCCCAAGGGTATTAACACGTAAGTGAATGTAATGGATTCGACTGGAATTCGAACTATGTTCGAACCAATGTATTACTTAAAAAAAAAAAAAGATTTCGATTAAAAAAAAAAAATAGCCCAATTAATTTTGTATACGACTTTATGATACTAACTCATCTAGATGCCACTCCTCAAAACCTGACAACCCCACACAAACTTCTAGGTTCGTCAATGCCCAGAAGTTACTATTTTTGCAAATGAATCCTGATTTCTATTATTATGACTCAGGTTAAGTTAGATAAATTTATCAGTTTGTTCTTCGTAGAGTACTTTGGTGTGCTGTGGGGCACCTTGTCGTGGTGTAATGGTTAGCAAGCTTGTCTCGCTAGAACAATTATGACTGAGTAGTGAGTTCGATCCTCACTGGGCGCCCCCTTGTTTAGGCCTTGTGCCACATCTAAGCTACGCTTGGAAAATCATAATTTGGCTAACAGTCTAACTCTCTGCCTTCAGGCGGAGAGGAACCCGGACGAGGCTCCGACGAAGGGTACAGTCTCGTTCGGGGTGGTTGACTGCCCCTGAACCCGTTTATGCGGGTTCAAAGAGGGAATATTTTTGGCCGTGCCTACGGGCTCGGAGATCCCACGTTAAACACGGCCTTGTGCCACATGTAACCCTCGTGGGGGGTAGGTAAATATTACTTTGGTGTGCTGTTCAGGACAACCTTCATATGGTATGCCTGATCATCGAGCAAGTCGACAGTGAAGCCGCGCTGATCAATTTAGATCAGTTCAAGGCCTTCGATATGGTTGACCATCGGTTTCTGGAGACTGTTCTTTCGGCAGCCGGTTTCGGCCGTACTTTCGCACCTGGATCCGACTACTGTATGCGACTCCCGGTGCACTGGTGGAAGTGAATGGGGTATGATCGGAGCCTTTCGTATTGTCTCGCTCCATTCGTCAAAGTAGTTCGCTTTCGCCTTTACTTTACGTTCTTGCGTTGGAACCTTTCTTTCGCAAGTTAAAGGCGAATCCGGTCCTACGTGGAATTGCCCTGCCCGGTGCTAACACATCGGCCAGGTATTCTGCCTATGCTGACGACGTTTCGGCTCTTGTGTCGAGCAGAGCCGAGATTAACGTCGTCAGCAAAGAAATCAGTTGTTATGAGATGGTGACAGGGGCCAAGATCAACCGCGATAAGTCTGTTGGCTTACGGTTGGGTGCGTGGAAGGGAGTTTCTCTTCCAGGACCTTTCCACTGGACGGATGGGCCGGTCAAGATTCTCG